AGATCTCCATGTCAAAGCCCACACAGACAATGATAGTGAAGCAACAGGGCAGCAACTGCCTAATAAGCAAAAAAAAAAGAAAAGGTATTTAAAAAAAGTTTTTTTTAACAAATACTTCTTCTGTTTCACAAAAGCTTAAGGGATAGATTGAGCTGGATTGGGCTGTTAGCTTTTCTTTTTCCTAGAAATGCCCTTTCTGATTTCAGAGACTAGATTATTGATCAATAGAATATGTTAAATAAGTTTGTAAAAAAATAAAATAAATAACAGCCATAGATTATGGCCTCTCACAGAAATGTTGAAGTGGCTTAGGCTGAATTTGAGTTTAGCTTAGCTGTATATGGCCAAAAATAAAGTAATAAATTAATTATAGATAGATAGATAGATAGAGTGGCCCCAAAATGTATGTGAACACTTATGCTACACTTACAAATGTATGAATTTCATTGCATTAGAAAACATGTGAAACCAAGTATCAAGAAAGATGCCACAAGCACAATTTAGAAGCAAAAAATGTATGTTTAAAAATATAATATATAAGATATACTGTTTGACAAAAAAGTATTTGCACACTTAAGCCTATTCTTGTTCTCACAGTTAATGTGATGAACTACACACTCTGCTAGGGGCACCTGTACGAAACTGAAGGTACCGGACTACGTACATCCACTATACATTACCTTGGGACAGCTGGGTAAAAGTAATTGCAAGAATGGCTAAGAAGAGGGAATTATTTTTTGAGAAAAGGTCTAGTATTATCTGTTTGCCCAAAGAAGGCCACTCTATTCACCAGATCAGCAAAAAACTAAATCTTCCTTCCTTCATACTTGGATATATTGAAAAATAAAGTTCAAAGGACATGTGAAAGAAAACAGGTAAAGTACAGGCCTAACTGTGAGTGGGAACAGGAAGAAGAGATGAGAAACAGCAGCAAAGATTGCTCCAGACATCAGTGAGAAATACCAGATACAACTTATTGCACAAACTGTACAAAACAAGAGCAAAGAGCACTGGGCATGAGTACAAAGGGAGAGTAATGTGGCAGAAACCATTCATCTTCAGAGAGTTTGTGTGGAGAAAGCCAGGAGACGATTTCCAACCAAACCATGGGTGAATACACAGGAAGCCCGGCTTCCTCTAAAATTTCATTAAAATGCAGCACTGAAATGTTTACCAAAGTGTCTCAAGTGTAGTTTTGGTGGAATTCAATATTTTTGCGAATCAAATGATCAAATATCTCACTGCAATATCACGCTGTTCATTCATTTAACTGAAACTCTTTCTGGTGCACAGCACAGACTGAGTGAAAATCTCCTCTGAAGCCCCCAACAAAGAGCTAATACACACAGAGGAAAGCCTGTGCTTCAGTTAGTGTCTGTTAGGTGTGTACTCGCTGTTAACACTCCTTGGACAACAGACTTTTAAAGTGTCATTTTGTGTCACACACAGACGCACAAGCTTCACTGGGAGTGACTGGAGTGTGGGCAGGTGCGTTTTGCCCAGGAAAAAACTTCTCAAAGTTTGTTGGACAGTAGGCTCTTTGTTTGTCCCACCTGGACACACAGCTTCTCTTTATGATGATTGGTAGACCTCTGAAAAGGGCGGAATCTCATAACAAACTGCCATTCACAGAAACAGGAAGGAACATGACTGACATCTCTAACTTATTAAACATATTGGCATATATATTTTATATACATTTGGTAGATAACAATTTATTTTTGGGAAATGTTTTGCTTGAAAATTGTGCTTGCGGTATCTGTCTTCAAAATAGTTTGATTTAATTTCTAATGCAGTAAAATTCACACATTTGTATGTGTGGTGTAGGTGTCCAAATACTTTTTGGGGCCACTGTAGATAGATAGAATAATTTATTAATTGATTGTCAGCAAGCATGATTGTAAAAGACATTTTGACTGCACCCCCAATCAAAACAGGGATAAATCACCCTGAATCCAAGCTGTATTTTCCAATAAAACATCAATCCAAACATAATGCAAAATCAACAGAAAAATAGTTTGAAGTATCCATAATTGTCCTGTGATTCTAATATTACCAAAAAGACCTTGAACAAAATGTAATAACTGCTTTATTATTGTTGTTATAATGACAATGATATAATGATAGAAAAAAAAACAAGTTAGAAAAACACAAATCCTTCACCTATACCTAGTACATACATAATTCATGATCGTATAAATCATATCCCATGTAAATGGTCATAAGAGTGGTTCAATATCAGCATGGACAGTGAACACACAAGACGGTATAGAGTATTGTATATATTGTATACAGTATAGTAGTATTGAAGTGAATGCATAATGACAAAACCAAAGAGGTGGTTAAGAGAAATTTTTATCCATTATTTTCAGACAATCTATTTCATAAAACAAGCAGGAAATGGATATAAGTAGTCTAATGTAGTCTAATCTAATCATATCTACACAATGTAGTACTGTGAGTATACATTACATATACAATATAAGATCTTTTCTATATTGGTATTACAGTATAATATTACCTGTAGTAAACATTAAAAAGATCAAGCTATGAGGACTGCCATCACAAAACTGGATGGAAAAGTACAAAATGGCTTCTTGTTCTAGCTGACTACAAGCGAACCAAGAAAGTATGAACTCTACCTTCCTGCACCAGTGGCTTAATACAAACCCACTTCTGTGTTTAGGGATGCTGTAGTGATTAGTATTTACTGCCATTGTTCATTTTCTCACTGGTAGTTTTAAAACTCTACTACTTATGCTTCCACATTTGTAAATGTGAAAGTGTTTAAAACGGTCTATAGAACACAAAATACTCTTGACTGTGTTCAAACCATGCTTTTCTTCTTCTCGCTAGTTTTTCGACCTCCTCTGGTGGCCACCCACTGCAGGGCCTTCCTCCGCACTGAATGCCTTGCATGCCCTTCGTGCCCCTCCCCTATGCCACTGTTGTGCACTCTGAGCATTCTGATTTTAAAACTGTTGGATTCAAGAAACTGGACTCTGAAACCAAGGTCTGGGTTGGAGCTAATGGTGACCTTGTTTTTACACACACACAGGTATTGGCTGGGTTCTGCCACTGAGCACAAGCTTCCATACTCTCCGTTATTCTCAGCCCACCTGAACAGGAATCTCTCGCTGAACTTTTTGGGCTCATTCTGTGCCTGTATCTGCAAAGGTGGGAAGGAAAATGGCATTTAAAACCTTAACCATAAACGTAAACCAAAAGGAATTAGCAAGATTTCAATGCTACACAAAAGTCTGCTTAATAAATTCTTATTAAGAAAAAGAAAAAGAAAAAGTCATATCATAAGATAAGACTTTATTGATCCCAAGGGGAAATTAGACTGTTCCAGCAGGATACATAAAAGACAAGGCACAAATACGCATAAGAAATAAAGTAAAAATAAAGTAAAAATAAACTAAGATAAAGTAAAATAAATATTGAAAAATAAAATAAAATTTACAGGTTAAAATATAAAAATGTATGCATAGCATAGATATAAATAGTAAACCTATATAGTATGTATCATATACATCTATAGCTATGCTAAGATGCAAGAAGTACATTATACTGGGTTGCAGTTTTATACACTGTAATGGTTATGTATACAGTGTTATCCACAGATGAGGTAGTTACAGTTGCCGTATTGTGACCAGTGCAGATAATGCATGATAGATGTACAATAATGCATACCAGTAACAAAATCGATCTAACATATTCAACATTTGAGTTGAATTTACATAAGGCATATGTGTTGTAAGTAAAGATTTAAACAAGACAGGGCAAGCTGTTAGAGAAAAATAAGTTTATGTGGAGAAATTACCTTTAAACTCATTTTGTTCTCAGAGTCCCTCTCCACTACAGGAAAATATTTCTTCTTTCTCAGCTCGAAGCAGAATGCCATGCTGATGCTTTTGTCTCGTTTATTTAGCACCCTGTACACGGTCACTGAACCATGGAGAGAAGTTCAAATTTTAAATCACATTACAGATACCAGATATCGTTAATGCCAAACATGAATGACATTTTATAACTATACATTCATCAGAACTCCTGCAAACACAAAGACGCAAAAAAGGGGGAATTTAGGATCATTCTGTACTTACAGTTTGATGTTTTACTTTGTGAATGTTCAACAACTATTTGATGAGATCTTCCTTGAGATACGTTGCTTCTTACTGGCTTGATGTAGGCGGATTTCCCACCACTGATCTCCAGGCGTGCTGGCTTGCTCTCTGGCGCAGGAGTGGGTCCCATTGTTTAGTGAACTAGGAATGACATTACATGCCTTTTAAGTATAAGTGTCAGGACTTGGCTCTAGTTTGGTACTTATAACACCAGCCTACAGTCAACAGCTGCAAAGCACCTAAATTTATAGACACCTGAGCATTAAGATGTAAATGCCATTAATGTAGTTTGATTGACTGATTGATTGAGTGCATCTTATGAAATACAACACTATGGGTGGTGAAACGTGGCTGCTTTGTATTGTTTTGTGGTTCATTGCACGTAAAAGCGGTCATATTACTTCACAACCTACCTAGGCTATAATTAGTGTCATTTTGCATGATTAATTAAGCCAGTTTTCCACTGTGCGATTAGGATTATGGATTAGGATTAGGATTATTACTTATTACTTGCCATTAGGATTATTACTTAAGAGATGTATTAATTAAGAGATGATTCCAAGAGGAATTCTACAACAGACTGTGCGATAATTCTTTATGTCAAGATGAAGATAATTATTATATTCTGTCATGCTGGAGTGCACAGTGACTCAGCACAGGTTTGTAGCTCTTCAACTGGAAAGCATAAAACTAGTTTCACGCTGTCATAATACTACATAACCTCTATGAACAGATCTTTTGTGTCCTAATTAGCTAGGCAAAACTGTAATTCAACCTTACATTTACAGCATTTGGTAGATGCCCTTATCCAGAGTGACTTACAATTATCTCACCTGAGTAGTTGAGGGTTAAGGGCCCTGCTCAGGGGCCCAGCAGTGACGGGATTTGAACGCTCAACCTTCCGCTTAGAAGTCCACCGTCTTAACCACTGAGCTACTCTATTTCGTTCCAGGCTTTCCCATCCCTTGTTTTCTGTCCTGTCATGCTATAACTGTGATGAGACATTACAGAGACATTCTGTCTGCTGCAGCTTATGCCGTCCTCCTCCTGGTGGATTTTAGAGGAGTGCTGAGATTTGTCGTCGGCTGTCTCTGGTCGGATCGCGCGTCACATCATGCGTTCTAAGACGCAACTCATGACCAGAGATTATCCTTTTCAGACGCAGGATTGTGCTTGCGTCAGCAGAAATCGGGCCATATCTTACAGTGTATCATATAAACCAGGCTGCACTCATATTATCCTGCTTCCTTTGTCATTATATGATAGCTATATTTATATATTTAAAGACCAGACTGTTGCGTTTGTTGCGTGATAAAAACTCAATAAAGAGTCTAAACACGGGCGGGCATTTCTTCTTATTCTTCTTTACTGAACTGTCTGCAGTAATGAAGCCGGAGACTTACAAGAAAAGGATGGCCAACAAAACACTAACTCAGTATCAGTACAAAGAGTGGCCAACTAACATATATATTCCTGAGTTCTAGCCAATACACTACACAGACAATATAATTTAGGCTAAAAGCTTTGTTAATTGTGCACTGGAACGGTACAGTCTTTTATACTATAGTGTATGGAAAGGTGCACATATTATACCGTTTGTGAGAGTGTACCATACACCATGTAGGTTATGTGCACTTTGAAAATAAAATCCGTTAATTAATTCAGGCTGAACTTTTCCAAAAACGCATCTGAGAAACTCCCTATTTGTATTTTATTAAAGTACCAAGTCGTACATGGACCGTAGCAATATAAAATATAACATATCTGCTGCATCTCTTTCTGTCCACATTTGTTGCTCACCTCAAAACTAGCCCAAATCTCAGCTTATTGCATAACAGTGCTTTCCCTGAATCAACAAAACACTACTACACTGCAAACAACGTGCTATTTGTTTCCAATATGAAGTTTTTCTTGATGTTATACTGTAAACAACATGAGACCGACCTGATTCAAAGAAGAGCCAGCACTGCGGAGATTCTCCTGCTGCAGCTGCTGCTGCTCCTGCAGGACAAGGATGCAATATTTATACCCTAAAAACCAGCCCAATGGCCAGTAAAAACCAGCCCAGTGGCCAAGAAAAACCAGCCCAATATCAAATCTCAAAACATGCCCCTCCCAGATATATTCACGGATTTACCTCTTTATTTTTAACATCAGCAATATTATTTCAGCATGTATTGCAGCCCAAAAGTTACATAAAACCAATTCCCTTTTAACCAAGGT